AAACGCAGGATATGCCGTTACCACCACTTCACAGGTAATAGAAGCTAAACCTTTACCTGAGAATACCTCTGCACAGAAGGCAGAAATAATAGCATTAACGAGAGCCCTGGAACTGGCTAAAAATAAAAGGATAAATATTTGGACTGATTCTAAATACGCATTTGGTGTGGTGCATGCACATGGTGCTATCTGGAAAAAACGAGGACTTTTCAACACACAAGGGAAACAGATTAAACATGCTACAGAAATTCTACAGTTACTGGAAGGTGTTCAGCTACATGAAGAAGTAGCTATTATGTACTGTAAAGGACATCAACAACGTGACTCTAATCAGGAAATTGGAAATAATTTGGCTGACTTTGAAGCCAAACGAGCAGCTGAACATGCCAAGTGCAAGGTTTTACCCCTGAGTCGGAGCAATCCCAGGCACAGCTACAGGCTGGGCAGAGAAGAGATTCAGAGCAGCCCTGTGGAGAAGGACTTGGGGGTGCTAGTTGATGAGAAAATGGACATGAGTCAGCAGTGTGTGCTTGCAGCCCAAAAAACCAACTGTATCCTGGGCTGCATCAAAAGGAGCATGACCAGCAGGTCGAAGCAGGTGATCTTGCCCCTCTATTCTGCTCCTGTGAGACCTTACCTGGAGTATTGTGTCTGGTGTCCTCAAAATAAAAAGGACATGGAACTGTTGGAACAAGTCCAGAGGTGGGCCATGAGGATGATCAGGGGACTGGAGCACCTCCTATATGAAGAAAGGCTGAGAAAGTTGGGGCTGTTCAGCCTGCAGAAAAGAAGGCTTCGTGGGGACCTCATAGCAGCCTTCCAGTATCTGAAGGGGGCCTATAGGGATGCTGGGGATGGACTCTTCATTAGGGACTGTAGTGACTGGACAAGGGGTAACAGGTTAAAACTTGAACAGGGAAAGTTTAGATTGGATATAAGGAGGAAATTCTTTCCTGTTAGGATGGTGAGGCACTGGAATGGGTTGCACAGGGAGGCTGTGAATACTCCATCCCTGGCAATGTTCAAGGCCCGGTTGCATGAAGCCTTGTATGAAATGGTTTAGTGTGAGGTGTCCCTGCCCATGGCAGGGGGGGTGAAACTAGATGATGTTAAGGTCCTTTCTGAACCTAACTATTCTATGATTCTATAATACTATGTTCTTAATCCCTAATGTCAAATTAAGAATTAAAAAATCTAAACCTAGGTATTCAAAAGAGGATAGGAAATTAATTGACGATCAAAAGGACAGGAAAATAAAGAGGGTGGGGTTCAGATACCTGATGGGTGAATTGTAATCCCCTATAACCAGCTCTGGATGTTAGTTCAGGAAGAACATAATAAAACTCATTGGGGTAGCAACTCTTTGTATAAATAATTAAACAAACAAATTGTAGGAAAGTATCTGTACTCCACAGTTCAATTAGTGACAAAAAAATGTCAGCTCTGTCTTAAGAATAATCCTAAAACTGAAAATAGAAATCAAATTGGGACAACTGGGAGAGGAGGTTATCCGGGACAGCAGTGGCAAATAGGTTTTTCTGAATTACCAAGAAAAGGGGGTTATTGATATTTGTTGCTGTTATTGGATACTTTTTCAGGCTGGCCAGAAGCATTCCCTTGTAGGATAAATAATGCAAAACAAGTGAGTAAAACATTATTTAATGAGATAAAACCTCGTTTTGGAGTTCCAGTGGCAATTTCTTCTGACTGAGATTCATACTTCAGTGCAAAATTGTTACGAGAAATTAGCAAAAAATGGGAAATTGATTGGCAACTACATGTTCCATACAGGCCTCAGGCCTGTGGTCAAGTAGAAAAGATGGTTCATCTGATCAAACAACAAATTAGTAAAATATGTCAGGAAATGAATTTATATTGGTACCAAGGTTTACCACTGGCTCTATTAAGAATTCAAACTAAACCTCAGTTGAAAGAGGTTAGCCCATTTGAAATTTTGTATGGAAGACAATATCAGTCCCAGTTTAAAAGAGAAAGCCTTCAGGAAGATGGAGAAGGCTATCTCCAACAGTTTGTGATCATTCTGGGAAAAAGATTGGAGGAGAAAAATAAGAGAATGGTAGGGACAAGAGCAAGAGGATTGGATTATCTGATTCACCCTTTCAGATCTGGAGACTGGGTTTATGTTAAGAATTTTTCAGGAGATCCTCTACAGGAGAAGTGGAGCAGACCATACCAGATATTATTGACCACCTTTACAGCAGTGAAGATAAAGGAATTTGGATACATTGGTCAAGAATAAAGAAAGCACAAGAGCCAGAGAAGACACGGTTGATCAAACCTTCAAGACTCTTACGTATGAAATTGCGTCAGTCATAATTTGGACTTGTGTGATAACTGGCGCACAAGATTGGGACCAGAATTTATACCTGAAATTAGTACAGAATGTTACTAAGGTTTTAATCGTAGTGACTGCTGGGTGTATGCACAGTTAGCTAAATCAGTAGAAAATCCAGACCTTCCATTAACTGGAGTTCCAATTCCTAACACTATCTCATGGACAAATTTGTGGGTGAACACTACCAATCTGTGTCTGAGGGAAAGGTTAAAATTTGGGATAGATAGTTAATCCTAATCCAGGTAATAAATATTATCCCTGAGCACAAAGATGTATTGTACCAGGAACCAGGGTAGGTGATCATGCTTGTTTAAATGCCACAGATGTTGGTCACCATTCAAATTGCAATCATACTATTAATATAGATGGTATCGTAGTTCAGTTGTGGCCTGTTCCTAAAGGGAAAGGATGATATTGGTTATGTGGACAAAATGTCCCAACTGGAAGGGGGCATGCACCTTAGGTGCTGTAATACCCGATTTTACTATTATTGACAGCTATCCTTCCGGGACCTGAATTAGAAATTGTGCTAAACTAATTGAGGGTTTAACCCTATTATTGAACGGCACACAGGATTTCATAGTTTTGTAAGAAGGATAATTACATCTTTGGGAGTAAGTGCATTAGAGAAGGCAATTGTAAATATCTCAGCAACCATAGAGGAAATGGAAAGTAAAAACATTGATATAATACAGGCAGAACAACAAGAGATAACTAGGCCTATCTAAGGTGATATTACAAAACTAAGTGGCTCTAAACACATTACTGGCATCACAAGGAGGGGTTTGTTCCATAATCAATGAAAGTTGTTGTTCCTATATAGACCAAAGTGGCAGAATTGAAACAGATTTGTAGGAAATTTGGAAACAAACTAAAATATTTCATGAAATGGCCATGGATGACACCAAATATGGAAAAAGTTGACTTCACGGTTACCCAATCTCTCCTGGGTGAGGCAACTGGTTGCAGGAATATTGATGTTAATTGTTTTAATATTGACTACTTGTGGTATGATACAATGTTCCCTCTGGTCTATGATAAATTATGAAGATTTTAAGAGAAATGAAATCAAGCATCAAGTAGAAATGGGAAATGATTTACAAAAGACTTTAGATGGCAATAGTAGTATATAAAGTGTTGCAAAAGAATTTGCAAAAGGACAGAAAAAGGGGAGAATTTGAGACAAGGGGGGTACAAAATTACAAAACGGAGTATAGAAACCTTTAGAATTAGTTTTAAGTAATGTTAAGTTTGATAGCTTTGTAACAGTAGCAATGGAAAATTACTGAGGTGCAGGATACACAGAAAAAAAGTAGAGTACAGTACAGAACATACTGAGAATTCTTTTACAAGATAAATCATAGCTCACATAGTTTTAAGAAAAAACAGTCTAGAAGAACAGGACACAGGGATAAGGAGTATCTGGGAATGGCAGGTGTCCAGGATGGGCTACAGTTAAACTAACTGATAAGTAGGAGGACGAGAGGATTATTATGTCTCTGGTGCTAACGAACAAATTAAGCTGGTATAAGCATCTATTGCACATGCTTCAACAGCCGCCAGAAGTGATGAAGATTGTTGGAAGAAGTAAATGACCCTAAGAAACCACCACCACAATTCTGTACGCATGCAGGGAACTTTCTTGAAAATGTTGCAATCCATATGTAGCCTCATGAATATGTATGCATGCCCCGGGACTATATAAGGACAGCTTGTGTAGCAATACGGGGACACACATTCGGAGGAGCTATCCCCCGTGTCTCCCAGTGCCGCAATAAAGAATACCTGCTTGTCAGCTTGAAAACTTTGTTGGCAAGTTTGTTCCTGGAGTTTTCTCTGAATCAGCCCCTACAGGGCATTTGCCATCATCCATGACTCAGTATAGAGATAAAGTACTGGCCACTTTGCTCATTCAGGAATGTCCAAGGCCAGCTGGATTGCTTTCACCTCTGCAAACCGCCTTGACTGACTTTCTCCTTCAGTAGTTCCTACAGCTTGTTGTCAGGGACTCCATACAGCTGCCTTCCATCTCTGATGCTCTCCCACAATACAGCAGGACCCATCAGGAAACAAGGCATATCATTCCTTCATGCATGGACCAGTCCAGGTTATTAAGGTCTATTGCTGTTTACATTCTGCCAGTTTTATTATATGGTGGGGACCCTTCAGGACACATCACAACCTCCTTTGGTGACATTCCAAAATCTTTGCCCTCTGGCCAGTCCATGATGACTTCTAGAATTCCTGGATGACTGGGATTTCCTGTTCGAGATCGATGTGCAATTAGTGCATCCCACTGTGGAAGCGTGGTTGGCAGGCAAGGGTTACATTCCCATGGCTGAAATTGGCCAGGGACCAGTTTTGTAAAAGTCAGTGAGAAACCCAGCTCCGTAAAAAACACCAGCTGTGCAGGGGGGTAAACTGACTTTGCAGTTAACGAGTATCTTGAAGGGAGGAATAAGGAGGTTAGAAAACAGGATGTGCCTGTAAATAATAAAACCACAGAAATTTCCCAAGAATATGTGTGAATAACAGCCTAGCTCTATATAAACCCCAGGCTTAAGCAGAATAAACAGATCACTTCTATCATTCATATTGGTTGTGCTGTGTTCCCTCCGCATCGCGACGACATACAGTCTCCGACAAATTGGCGCCCGAACAGGGACTTAGACCCAGGAGAGGCGACGAAACCCAGGTACCCGTAGAGGCTGGGGTCGACACGAGCAGAGTGGGGAAGCACCGGATAAGCAGCATCCGGAGGGTCAAAGGCACCGATCTTGCTGGACAAGAGTACCGAGTCGCCTCGAGGACCTGGAGGAGAGGAGCCGGTTCACTGGTAGAGGAGCCTCTGCTTTCGCCGCCCGCTAATTTGGCTATCTGTGGGGTAAGCTGCATTGGTGCCAAAGCTGTGTAACTCGTGAAGAATATAAAAAGCTAGCTAGCTAAACAGCACTGTGAAAATATAAAGAGCTCTGTAAAACTGTGTAAATGTAAAAAAGCACTGTAAGGATGTAAAGAGCTCAGTAAAACTGTGTAAATATAAAAGCGCTGCAAGTGTAAATATAAAAAGCGCTACAGCTCTGTAAAGCTGTGTAAGAAAATAAGAAGCTGGGAGGAATATAAAAATGGATGTGGAAAGACAGGCAGCCTATGATTTACTTAAATGCTTCTTAGAGAAGCGAGGTATAGAGAAAGAAATAGACTTAGGGAAAGAGTTTGCCACCCTTCTCGATTATGCACCTCAGAAGCCTCCTTGGCATAAGGGGGAAGATAAAGTGAAACAGTGCTTACATCCGAAAGTACAAGTAGAAAGTGCAAATGCGTTCACCTTCAACCCAGAGGAAGAAGACCCTGAATCGGAATTGCAACCAGACCCAGAGTCTCCGGCAGAACCGGACTTGTACCCTTCCCTTCCTGATCCCGACTCAGACTCAGACAGTTCAGCTCGTCGGCAGATGCGAGCCAGCCTCAGTGATGGTCAGCTGCTACAGCTGCTGAAGAAATTAAAGTATTGGAGACAAAAGAAACCTCCGAACCCTCTGCTCCACCCTCCTACAATCCAATAGTAAAGAAAGGGGAGTGGGAGGGGGGTGTTGGGCACGGGGTACTGGATTACGGTAATAACCCTGCTAAACGTTATGATCAAAGATGCAATTGTTATGGGGGAATTTTCGGCTATGGGTCCCTCGGCATTCCTGGTGTTTAACACTCCACAGGGGGGAAAGGAGTGTGAGGCACTGGATTTAAAGGCAGTAAAGGAGGCCTACCAACCAGTAACATCCTACGGGTTAAAATCATCGTATACTTGGGCAATTATTGCACATATTTTTTCTGCATATATCCTAGCACCATATGATATCTGTATGATAGCTCAATTGTTGCTTGCTCCCCACCTTCAGATGTGATTTAAAGTGAGCACAGCAGAGGAAAAGAATGGATACAGGGCTACTGCCTTTGCTGCTGCTGTTAAACCCCTTTTACAATAAGGTTAGAGCGATTGCGGGGGTACTAAAGGTATGAGATGTTATAATTGTGGACGGACGGGACATTTTAAAAAGAAACAGTGTACTGTAAAGAAAATTAGTTCAGCGGTCCGCTGCCCCGCCTTGTCAGTGATTGAATGAATTGAAATTTGATCTTAGGACATCCGTTTTATGGATGTTTGCAGTCCTTCTTAAGGTGAAGGGAGCAACCTTTTTTACGTTAAAGTAAAAGTTCTGCATCAAGACCTGCAGTGGAAAGGTCTGTGATGGACTGTGGACTTATGACCCCATATACAACTCACTTAATACATTCTCTCTGTGATACTCATGTACTAGAAGCTGGTAAAAATAAGTATGTCCAGGTTTCTATTGACCTTTGGAGACCTTTATAAATACTGATGGCTACTTCTTCCAACATAGGCTGGCCACCTGTGTCGGAATGAGTGTGCATTTTGGTCAGTATAAAAGCCCAAGCCTCATGCGATGTGAGGGAGGCACAGAGCCTTTGTGGGGACGCCCGCTAAGGTTGGGCCTGCCACCTCGCACTGTGATGATGCTTCTCGGAGCTGGTTTTCCTGTTAGGCTCCACAGGGTCCTTGTGCCACATTCTGTATGTGGGATTGTGTAGTGGAAGTAATGATTGCTGGGATTTTGTGGTTCAAATATTGTGGTTGTGCTGACTGTGCTTGTGGGATCCCATACATGTATGTGTGTGTGTGTGTGTGTGTCGTGGTTTCACCCCAACCAGACAGCTTTCACTCACTCCCCCTCCCCTTCTTGCCCTCCCCCTACTCCTGGAAGGATGGAGAGGAGAATCAGAAAGAATGCAACTCCCACGGGTTGAGATAAGAACAGTTTAGTAACTAAGGTATAACACAAATCACTACTGCTTCCACCAGTAATAGTAATGATAAAGGAAATAATAAGGGAAGAGAATACAGCACCTCATCACCAGGCGACCGATAACTCCCCCCCCCCCCAGCCCAGCCAAGCACCGACTGATACCTCCTCCAACCCTGCCGTCCACTCTAGCCCCTTCTCGGTCACTCTCCCAGTTACATCCAGGGCATGATGTGCTGTGGTATGGAATACCTCTTTGGTCAGTTTAGGTCAGGTGTCCTGTCTCTGCTTCCTCCTGGCTTCCCTCCTCCCTGGCAGAGCACGAGGCCCACAAAGTCCTTGGCCAAACCAAAACATCATTTTTTTCAGCTTTGTTCCCAGCTGAAAGTCAAAACACAGCACTGCACCAGCTACCAAGAAAGAGAAAAATGACTGCTACTGCTAAACCCAGGACAGTGTGTGTTGAGGGCAGACAGTTTTCTGTGTATTTTTTGTTGTTGGGTTCATGTAAAAGTTTCTAATAGATAGTAGTTTAACATTTCAAACAAGAAAGGGTTAATGCAAAAGTGCGGTTGCTGGCAGATATTTATGGTTGCTGCTGAAGCAGGCAGGCAGCTGTAGCTGCTGCTGAGCAGGCAGGCGTTTGTAGCAGTGCAAAGCAGGGTGGGCGACTTTGGAAAAAAAAAAAAAAAAAAAGGGTTATTTGATAAGAGTTCAGTCCCCATGTTCAAAAGAAGCTGCCCTCTGCAAAAGAAGCTGCCCTCTGATTCGGCTCCCGATGCTCCATGGGTGGAAGGACCAGGATGGACACCAGAGCCGAGGAGAGGAAAAAAAAAAAAAAAGAACAAAATAAAATAAAACCAAGCTTAATATGTTTAAAGTAACCTGGGGATGAATCCAAGACTTGGAGAAACAGATTGGTTGAAACAAGAACTGCTAATTGAAAAAGCGAGAGGGGTAGTGCAACCACAAGCCTTACGAGCCGTCACCTAAGCAGCATCAGGGTGGCAGATACAGAGCCTATCTACTTCTCAAGAACTGATAACCTGGAGGAGGGGGTATATTTGTGTCCTCCTGCCTACAGGTCCATGGCAAATGCCTGCAAAGTTTGTCAAGCCCTGACATGATCTGGACAGACGAATGGAGGAAGCCGAGATGCTTCTGCTACAGGAGCTGAACGTGAATACCCCAAGCAGAATAAGATAGAGAAAGAGAAAAACCAATGATTGCTAAACATTATTTGGAAGCAACTGAAAAGTAACAGCTTGAATATGTGTGTTTATAAAGTAGCTATTGTTAGAAGCTTTGATTTTGTGTATGAAACCACCTGTATTTACTATCCAGTTGCTGATAAGAAACTACACCTTGTATTATACGGATTTGTCACCTGTAAAAGAAATGTTAGAGTATGCAAATTTGTAGTAGCTGCTAGAAAATGCTAAAGCAAAAGATAGAAATATTCTAATACAATGGTAGTGTTATAAAACAGGTAATGGAACAAATTAAGAGGGTGAGAGAATTCCACTGGTAAGAAATTTCTTTGGCTAGTCCCTTGCTGGCATCAGCATCTTCAACATGCTGCTGCACCCTGTAATAGTTACTCTGCTAATGTAAATCTGTGTGTGTGCCTTGCCATAATAACAACTTGGTATTGGATGAAGCAGGTGAAACTGCATTGACAACAAGATGCAAGGACTGAGGCTGACCAAATGCCTGCTACCACAATCAAGGGCAAGGCTGGGTTCGCCTCTGTGCCTGCCACCAAGAAGAACCTTTAGCTCCACTGCTGGCTGCAACCCAGCAGGTGTGGAGCGGTGGGGACACATGCCATGCCAGACCTTGATGTGAAGGATGGCCTCCCCTGTTACCAGAGAGCCATACGTGTTGCATGAATCTCTCAGGCCATAGTAGCTCTATACACAAGGAGCTGCAACAACTCAAAGACAACTTGCACAAATTAAAAGAAGGTGACTGTTGGGACCTCACCTCTTGGTTAAGATCACTGGGACTAGGATCCTGGCTAAGCAGTATTTTAAGTCATTTTTTGCCTGTATGTATCTTACTTTTGCTTATCTTGATTTGTTTGCCCTGTATTATTCAATGTATTAAGCAAAGCTTTATGAAAATTGTAACAAATATGCTTGAAAAAGAAAAAGGGGGAATTGTGGAAGCGTGGTTGGCAGGCTGTCGGAGCGGGAGTCAGGCCCGGAGTAACGACGCAACCTCAATATGAGTATGATCGTTCTCGTTTATTGTTTGCATACACAGTGTTTATATAGGATTCTAAATCAGCCACGCTCCTAAAGCAAAGTTATCATTGGTCCCCAACAACTGTTCACACGCCTGTCTATACATTGCTATTGGCTAAGCTAAGTTTTACACGCATATCTCTACAACAGCAGGGTGCATGCCTTGTGATAAGCGGTGCATTCCTTGTGGCCAGCAAGCTCCTGTTTCAGCGTTCTGCTTACATTTCTTCAACTCCAGGCCTCCCCGGCTCAGCTGAGTCAGAGAGAGTTCAAGGCTGTCTCACTCGGCTCTAATCCTGGGTTGTGCAGGCCCTCATGAGAATAACCATTGCTCCACAATTCCCCCGTTTTTCTTTTGCACAAACCAGGATGCTTGCTGTCACACAAGGAAAATTTTGCTAAGTAATCTACTAAGTAAGCTTTGCAAACATTGTAATAAGCAAGGTACCAATACAGGCACATCCCGTTTTCTAACCTCCTTATTCCTCCCTTCAAGACACTCGTTAACTACAAGGTCAGTTTACCCCCCTGCACAGCTGGTGTTTTTTACCGAGCTGGGTTTCTCACTGACTTTTACAAAACTGGTCCCTGGCCATGTTCAGCCATGGGAATGTAACCCTTGCCTGCCAACCATGTTTCCACAATTCTCCCTCCTTGTTTTTGAGCAACCCAGGCTTGGTTCACTATGCTGGTGAGCGCCTCTTTAATATGGCTAAGAGCCACACACAGATTTAGATTAGCAGAGTAACTATTACAGGGTGCAGCAGCATGTTGAAGATGCTGATGCCAGCAAGGGACTAGCCAAAGAAATTTCTTACCAGTGGAATTCTCTCACCCTCTTAACTTGTTCCTTTACCTGTTTTATAACACTACCATTGTATTAGAATATTTCTATCTTTTGCTTTAGCATTTTCTAGCAGCTACTACAAATTTGCATGCTTTTATAAGTGACAAATCTATACAAGATGTAGTTTCTTATTAGCATTTGACTAGTAAATACAGGTGGTTTCATACACAAAATCAAAGCTTCTAACAATAGCTAATTTACAAGCACACATATTCAAGCTGTTACTTTTCAATTGCCCCCAAATGATGTTTAGCAATCGTTGGTTTTTCTCTTCCTCTATCTCATTCTGCTTGGGGTATTCATGTTCAGCTCCTGCAGCTGAGGCATCAGGTTCCTCCATTCGTCTGTCCAGCTCATGGCAAGGCTTGACAAACTTCGCAGGCATTCGCCATGGACCTGTAGGCAGGAGGGCACAAATACACCCCCTTTTCCAGGTTATCAGTTCTTGAGAAGTAGATAGGTTCTGTATCTGCCACCCTGATGCTGCTTAGGTGACGGCTCGTAATGCTTGTGGTTGCACTACCCCTCTCGCTTTTTCAATTAGCAGTTCTTGTTTCAACCGATCTATCTGTTCCTCCAAGTCTTGGATTCATCCCCAGGTTACTCTAAACATATTAAGCTTGGTTTTGTTTTATTTTGTTTTTTTCTCTCCTCGGCTCTGGTGTCCATCCTGGTCCTTCCACCAGTGGAGCACTGGGAGCCGAATCTGAGAGCAGCTTCTTTTGAACATGGGAACTGAACAACTGAACTTTTATCAAATAACTTTTTTTTTTTTTTTCTTTTTTTGAAGTTGCTCACCCTGCTTTGCACGGCTACAAACGCCTGCCTGCTCGGCAGCAGCTACAGCTGCCTGCCTGCTTCAGCAGCAACCATAAATATCTGCCGGCAACTTCACTTTTGCATTAACCCTTTCTTGTCTGAAATGTTAAACTACTGTCTATTAGAAGCTTTTACATGAACCCAACAACAAAAAATACACAGAACACCGTCTGCCCTCAACACACACACACACACGTATGGGATCCCACAAGCACAGTCCACACAACTACAATATTTGAAGCACAAAATCCAGACAATCATTACTCCCACTACACAATCCCACATACAGAACGTGGCACAAGGACTCTGTGGAGACTAACAAGAAAACCAGCTCCGAGAAGCATCATTGCAGTGCGAGGTGGCAGGCTCAACCTTAGCAGGCGTCCCCACAGAGGCTCTGCCTCCCCCACATCGCATGAGGCTTGGGCTTTTATACTGACCAAAATGCACACTCATTCCGACACAGGTGGCCAGCCTATGTTGGAAGAAGTAGCCAGCAGTATTTATAAAGGTCTCCAAAGGTCGATAGAAACCTGGACATACTTATTTTTACCAGCTTCTAGTACATGAGTATCACAGAGAGATTGTATTAAATGAGTTGTATATAAGTCCACAGTTCATCACAGACCTTTCCACTGCAGGTCTTGATGCAGAACTTTAACGTAAAAAAGGTTGCTCCCTTCACTTTAAGAAGGACTGAAAACATCCATAAAACGGATGTCCTAAGATCAAATTTCAATTCATTCAGTCACTGACAAGGGGGGGGCGGCGGGCTGCTGAACTAGTTTTTGTTACAGTACACTGTTTCTTTTTTACAATGTCCCGTCCATCCACAATTATAACATCTCATATCTTTAGTACCCCCGTGATCGCTCTAACCTTATTGTAAAAGGGGTTTAACAGCAGCAGCAAAGGCAGTAGCCATGTATCCAGCCTTTTCCTCTGCTGTGCTCACTTTAAATCACATCTGAAGGTGGGGAGTAAGCAACAATTGAGCTATTATATGGATATCATATGGTGCTAGGATATATGCAGAAAAAATATGTGCGATAATTGCCCGAGTATACGATGATTTTAACCCGTAGGATGTTACCGGTTGACGCACCTCCTTTACAGCCTTTAAATCCAATGCCTCCCACCTTTTTCCCCCCTGTGGAGTGTTAAACACCGGGAATGCCGAGGGACCCATAGCCGAAAATTCCCCCATAACAATTGCATCTTTGATGATAACGTTTAGCAGGGTTATTACTGTAATCCCATACCCTGTGCCCAACACCCCCTCCCATTCCCCTTTCTTTACTACTGGATTGTAGGAGGGTGGAGCAGAGGGTTCGGAGGTTTCTTTTGTCTCCAATACTTTAATTTCTTCAGCAGCTGTCGCAGTTGACCGTCACTGAGGCTGGATCACATCTGCTGATGAACCGAACTGTCTGAATTGTCTGAGTCTGAGTTGGGGTCAGGAAGGGAAGGGTACAAGTCCGGTTCTGCCGGAGACTCTGGGTCTGGTTCCAATTCCGATTCGGGGTCTTCATCCTCTAGGTCGAAGGTGACCGCGTTTGCACTTTCTACTTGTACTTTTGGACGCGAGCGCCGTTTCACTTTATCTTTCCCCTTATGCTGAGGAGGCTTCTGTGATGCCGTGCCAGGCACAACGGGGGGGAGGGGGGGACTTCCCTCTCTGCCCTCATTTCTTTTAAGGTCTCTAGGACAGAGTTCCATTGGTGTCCACAGTTTTTGCCACATGGTTCCCCCAAAGTCTTGCCATTCCGATACGGAAAATATCAGACAAATGTCTGCAAAATGTCCCCATTTTTGGCCTAACTTAATTAATCGTATCAGCTGCTTCACCGGCGCTTCTTTCCCTCTCTTGGAGAGGATTCCGGCAAGCAAGTTGGCTGCAGCTTCCTGATCCATAGCTGCACCTGGGGGTTAGAGAGCTACTCTAACGCCGGCTTTCCGCGTCTGCCTGGACCTCTTGTCCCCGGCAGGGCTTCCCCAGCCGATTCTTCCCGCTCCGACCCTCCTCTTGCTGCTTACCACAGTCTCGGAGATCTTTGGTCGGGAACCATCCTCTGCTACCAGATGTCGGAGTGGGAGTCGGGCCCGGAGTAACGACGCAACCTCAATATGAGTATGATCGTTCTCCTTTATTGTTTGCATACACAGTGTTTATATAGGATTCTAAATCAGCCACGCTCCTAAAGCAAAGCTATCATTGGTCCCCAACAACTGTTCACACGCCTGTCTATACATTGCTATTGGCTAAGCTAAGTTTTACACACATATCTCTACAACAGCAGGGTGCATGCCTTGTGATAAGCGGTGCATTCCTTGTGGCCAGCAAGCTCCTGTTTCAGCGTTCTGCTTACATTTCTTCAACTCCAGGCCTCCCCGGCTCAGCTGAGTCAGAGAGAGTTCAAGGCTGTCTCACTCGGCTCTAATCCTGGGTTGTGCAGGCCCTCGTGAGAATAACCATTGCTCCACAGCAGGTAAGGTTTACGTTCCCATGGCTGAACTTGGCCAGGGACCAGTTTTGTAAAAGTCAGTGAGAAACCCAGCTCGGTGAAAAACACCAGCTGTGCAGGGGGGTAAACTGACCTTGTAGTTAATGAGCATCTTGAAGGGAGGAATAAGGAGGTTAGATGTGCCTGTAAATAATAAAACCACCGAAGTTTCCCAAGAATATGTGTGAATAACAGCCTAGCTCTATATAAACCCCAGGCTTAAGCAGAAAAAATGGATAACTTCTATCAATCATATTGGTTGTGCTGTGTTCCCTCTGCATCGCGACGACATAGAGTCTCCGACATCCCACTTACTCCATGCAGCATCGGTTGCATGATGTGTAGAGGAGAACCTTCCTTTGAACATCCAGCCCAGCACAGGTAATTGGGGTGACAGAAGGAGCTGTGCTTCAGTGCCAGTCACTTCTGAAGCACCTCAAACCCCTTCATAGGCTGCCAGTATCTCTTTATCAGCTGGGGTATAGCTGGCCTCAGATCCTCTGTATCCCCGACTCCAGAAACTGAGGGGTTGATCTGGAGTCTCCCCTGGAGCTTTCTGCCAGATGCTCCATGTAGGACAATTTTCCCTGGCTGCAGTGTGTTTTTTTACATCTGTCCTGGTCTGGACTAGGTCCAAGGGCTACTGCACGAACTATCTCTCATTTAATTTGTTGAAAGGCTTGTTGTTGCTCAGGACCCTGTTTAAAATTATTCTTCTTCCAGGTCACATGATAGAGCTGGCTTACAATCAAACTGTAATTTGGGATGTGCATTCTTCAGAACCCCACAACACCTAAGAAAGCTTGTGTTTCTTCCTTATTAGTTCGTGGAGACATTGCTATTATCTTGTTGATCACATCTGTGGAGATCTGATGACGTCCATCTTGCCATTTTATTCCCAAAAATTGAATCTCCTGTTCAGGTCCCTTGACCTTGCTCCGTTTTATGGCAAAACTGTCTTTCAGCAGGATTTGGATCATTTTCCTCCCTTTTTCAAAACTATCTCTCATTTAATTTGTTGAAAGGCTTGTTGTTGCTCAGGACCCCGTTTTACTTCTGAACCCAGGACCACAGATTTGGGATTTGTTTCCCACATGTAGCTGGCCAGGTTGCTGAGGTTGATTTTATTTGGTGGCAGGGCATGGCTAGAAATAGGAAATCAGCTCATACTCTGGATTAGAGCCTCCAGCAGCTCACACAGGGCAGGTTTTATATTTTCTTAAGTATAATTTTAGTAGCACCCTGCTTGTTCCCTCTTATGCTGACACCACCAATATCAGATGCACCGACAAGGCTGGTGCTCTTGCAAAGGAAGATTTTTACATATTTGGTGACAAATATCTTGCAAAGTACTGTTTTGAAATAGAATTCTGAATTCATGAATATGTAGGTCTATTTCTACCTGAATCTCTCTCTTATTTCTCCTCAGTTTGACAAATTCTACTGAGGTAGTATGTAATGTCTGTATTTGTTTCCCAAGTCCATGTATGTGATTTGGAGGGGTGGGGTAGATGCAAACATATGCTTTTATACTATCAACCCTATAACCGATTCTGTGCCACAAGCAGTGACTGCGGAGGAGTGGGATCCTCCTGAGTGTCTCTGCTCTGTGATGCACGTCAAACACTTGAATTTCGCAGGTGTCTGTAGGCCCTGATCAGGATTTAGGGACTACACTGAAATGATTCTACTACCTGAAAGGAGGTTGTAATGAGGTGGGGATCAGTCCCTTCTCCCGCGGGTGTGTGCTTGTCACGGGGGGGCTCTCCCGCGGGTGTGTGCGCCTCACAGGGGGGCACACCTGGAGCGTGTGGGGGGTGCGTGACAGCCGCGATGTGAAGGGATACATGTGTGACAGCTAGCCGCTCCACTTAGGGGGGCGGGGAGAGAGAGGGGTGGTGCTGGTGCGTGCGACGGCCACTCTGCGTGGCGCTCTGTTCTTCCGGCGGCGGAAGGAGGAAGTGACGCTGCACAGCGGAACACTGCAGCTTCGGTGACATTCTCTCCTTCTGGTTGCTCATGCCCCAGCTGCTGATTTCAGGCGAGAGGCCAGGAGGATTGCTGTGCTATCCAGGTGAGTGGGGTCGGGGCTGCCGGGGTTTGGCCTCCTGTGGGGCTGGGCCGCGCTGCCTCGCTGCAGCCGTGCTGGGCGGGCGACAGAACCGTGGCTGTCAGCCTTGCTGTGTGCAGGCGGCGGGGCGTCACCGGGGTATGGCTAACGGCCACCCCCCTATTCCCCCTTCCCCGGGGCCGGCGGTGGCAGGAGCGTGCAGCCCGGCCCTGCCCGGAGCGTGCTGGCCCGGTCCCACTAGGGCTGGGGAGGTGGCCTTGCATGCGCCGCGCATCCTCCGCGCTGCCGAAGGGCTTCAGGAACGCGTGTGTGCCCGGTGGGACTTAATGAGGTAAAATAAGATGGGACGAATAAAGAGTAGATATGGAGAATCATGAAGGGTTTGAAGGCTTAAACATCAGAGATAAGTTGGTGTAACTTGGTCCGAACAACAAGAAATAATTGCCTTGGTTGTCCTGACCCTCCATTTCCATACTGTGTATTTACCTTTAAAAAGCTTGCTTCTTTGCCTTGCCTTGACTTTGTTAGCTTTCTTTGCTTTCACTTGTATACTATTACGTCAACTCCCTGCTCCACCAAGTATGTATGTACCATATATGACCCACCTGTATATCAACATCTCACTTAAACATTTGTTAATGAGATGCGGTTTGTACCACATTATAAAAATGACTGGAGACTGAGCATACACAACAGTCAGGTTACCCCTGATTCAGAGAAAACTCCAGGAACAAACTTGCCAACAAAGTTTTCAAGCTGACAAGCAGGTATTCTTTATTGCGACGCCGGGAGACACAGGGGATAACTCCTCCTAACGTGTGTCCCCATATATACAAGCCATCCTTATATAGTCCCTGGGCATACATACATATTCATGATGCTACATATGGATTACATCATTTTCCAGAGAGTTCCCTGCATGCGTACAGAATTGTGGTGGTGGTCTCTGAGGGTCGTTTACTTCTTCCAACAATCTTCATCACTTCTGGCAGCCTTTGAAGCACGCGCAGTAGATGCTCATACCAGTTTAATTGGTTCGTTAGCACCAGAGACATAATAATCCTCCTATCCTCCTACTTATCATTTGGTTTAACTGTAGCCCATCCTGGACACCTTCAGTTCCCGGATACTCCTTATCCCTGTGTCCTGTTCTTCTAGACTGTTTTTCTTAAAACTATGTCAACTATAATGATTTATCTTGTGAGAATTCTCAGTATGTTCTCTAGCTGTAGTCTGTTTCTTTCTCTATGTATCATGCACCTCAGTAATTTTCCATTGCTACTGTTACAAAACCATCAAACTTAACATTACTTAAAACTAATTCTAAAGGTTTCTATATTCCATTTTATGATTTTGTGTCCCTTCGTTTCAAATTCCCCCGTTTTTCTGTCCTTTTGCAAATTCTTTTGCAACATTTTATATATTACCATTACCATCAACATCAAAAGACTTTTGGAAATAATTTCCCGTTTCTACCTGGTGCTTAATTTCATTCCTTTTCCAATCTTCGTAATTTATCATAGACCATTTACAACACCAGAGGGAACATTGTGTCATATCACAATTAATCAATATTAAAATAATTAACACCAATATTCCTGCAACCAGTTGCCTCAACCAGGAGAGATTGGGTAACCATGAAGTTAACTTTTTCCATGTTTCTTCAAAACCCCAGGAGGTGTCATCCATGGCCATTTCATGAAATATCTTAGTTTGTTTCCAAATTCCTCCAGATCTGTTTCAATTCCGCCACTTTAGTCTGTATAGGAACACCAACTTTCATTGATTATGGAAGAAACCCCTCTTTGTGATGCCAATAACATGTCTACAGCCATTCGATTTTGTAATATCACCTTAGATAGGCTAGTTATCTCTTGTTGTTCTGCCTGGATTATATCAATGTTTTTACTTTCCATTTCCTCTATGGTTGCCGAGATATTTACAATTGCCTTCTCTAATTCACTTACTGCCAAAGATGGAATTAGCCCTTTTATAAAACTATGAAATGAGTTGTGCCGTTCAATCATAGGGTTAAACCCTCACTTAATTCGTTTAGCAAAACTTCTAATCCAGGTCCCGGAAGGGTACCTGTTGATAATAGCAAAATTGGGTATTACAGCACCTAAGGTGCATGCCCCCTTCCAGTTGGGCGGGGGTAGAATCTTATAAGCATTTTTTCCACATAACCCATACCATCCTTTCCCTTTAGGAACGGGCCACCACTGAACTAGAATACCGTCTATAGTAATAGTATCATTGCAATTTGAATGGTGACCTACATCTGTGGCATTTAACCAAGCAAAATTTCTTACCCTGGTTTCTGATTTAATACATCTTTGTGCACAGGTATAATATTTATTACCTGGGTTAGGATTAACTATTCCAAATGTTAACCTTTCCTTCGAATACAGATTGCTAGTGTTCACCCACAAATTTATCCATGAGACAGTGTTAGGAATTGGAACTCCAATTAATGGGAGATCCAGGCTTTCTCCTGATTTAGGCAACTGTGCACACACCCAACAGTCACTACGATTAAAAACATTAGTAACATTCTGCACTAATTTCAGGTATAAGTTCTGGTCCCAAGCTTGTGCGCCAGTTATCATATGAGTCCAAATTATGACCGACGCAATTTCATACGTAAGGGTCCTGAAGGTTCGATCCGCCATGTCTTCTCTGGCTCTGGTGCTTTCTTTATTCTTGAATAATGTATCCAAGCAGGTTGCTCCTTTATCTTCACTGCTGTAAAGGTGGTCAATAATATCTGGTACGGTCCGCTCCACTTCTCCTGTAGAGGATCTCCTGAAAAATTCTTAACATAAACCCAGTCTCCAGATCTGAAAGGGTGAATTGGATAATCGAAACCTCTGGCTCTTGTCCCTACTATTCTCTTATTTATCTCCTCCAACTGTTTTCCCAGATTGATCAGAAACTGTCGGAGATAGCCTTCTCCTACTTCCTGAAGACTCTCTCCTTTAAACTGGGACTGATATGGTCTTCCATACAAAATCTCAAATGGGCTAAACTCTTCTTTTGACCGGGGTTTAGTTCGAATTCTTAATAGAGCCAGTGGCAATGCCTGGTACCAATATAAATTCATTTCCTGACATATTTTACTAATTTGTTGTTTAATCAGATGGTTCATCTTTTCTACTTGCCCACTGGCCTGAGGCCTATATGGAACATGTAGTTGCCAATCAATTTCTAATTTTTTGCTAATTTCTTGTAACAATTTGGCACTAAAGTGTGAACCCCGGTCGGAAGAAATTGCCGCTGGTACTCCAAAATGATCTTATTATCTTGTTAAATAATATTTTAATCACTTGTTTTGCATTATTTATTCTGTAAGGGAATGCTTCTGGCCAGCCTGAAAAAGTATCCGTTAACACCCATAAATATCGATAACCACCCCTTTTTTTTTTTTTGGTAATTCAGAAAAATCTATTTGCCGCTGCTGTCCGGATAACTTCCTCTCCCAGTTGTCCCAGTTTGATTTCTATTTTCAGTCTTAGGATTATTCTTAAGACATAGCTGACATTGTTTTGTCACTAATTGAACTGTGGTGTATAGATTCCTTCCTACAATTTGTTTGTCTAAATATTTATGCAAAGAGTTGCTACCCCAATGAGTTTTATTATGTTCTTCCTGAGCTAACATCCAGAGCTGGTTATAGGGGATTACAATTGGACCATCAGGTATTTGAGCCCAACCCTCTTTATTTTCCTGTCCCCTTAGATCCTCAATCAATTTTCTATCCTCTTTTGAATATCTAGGTTTAGATTTTTCAATTGTTAGTTTGCCATCAGGGATTAAGGACATGATTTGAAATTGTTCAGCTGCTCGTTTGGCTTCAAAATTGGCCAAATTATTTCCAATTTCTTGATCAGAGCCACCTTGTTGATGCCCTTTACAGTACATAACAGCTACTTCTTCAGGTAGCTGAACAGCTTCCAGTAATTGCAGAATTTCTGTAGCATGGTTAACCTGTTTCCCTTGCGTGTTCAAAGGTCCACATTCTTTCCAGATAGCACCATGGACATGGACCACACCAAATGCATATTTAGAATCAGTCCTAATATTTATCCTTTTATCTTTAGCCGGTTCCAGGGCTCTTATTAATGCTATTATTTTTGACTTCTGGGCAGAGGTGTTACCAGGTGAAGGTTTAGGTTTTACTTTTTTTTTTTTTTTTTTTTTTCCCTGTGAAGTGGTGGTAATGGCATATCCTGCCTTTCATTTACCATTTTTCATGAAGCTACTACCATCAGTAAACCAAGAATCAACATCTTCCAGAGGTTTTTCTTTCAAGTCTGGTGGGCTCGAATATACAGTCTCTATGGTGGTCAAGCAGTCTTTTGTTAGTGGTTCTGTCGATTGTTTCTGCAAAAGGATGCTGGATTCACAACGTTAGTGACCGCAATTTCTGTATCATCCTGTTCTACAATGGTGGCCTGGTATTTAAAAAAACGTGAAGGAGATAACCTCCTTTCTGCTCCAGGACTACTGATACCACATGGGACACTAGTACAGTAATCTTTTGTCCCAAAGTAAATTTGCAAGCCTCTTTAATATTTGTGATAACTGCTGCCATAGCTTTTATGCATCTGGGCCATCCTTTGCTCTCTTCATGCAGCTGTTTTGAAAAATAGGCCACTGCCCTTCTGTAGGGTCCTAGTTTTTGAGCAAGGACTCCCAAAGCTATTCCCTGTTTTTCATAAGAATATAGCCAAAAGGATTTAGTCTCATCCAGGAGTCACAGAGCTGCCATTCTCATTAGCTCTGTTTTTAAATTTCTAAAAACCCCCTCTGCTGTATTAGTCCATTCTAAAGAGGGAGAGTTTCCTTTCAACAGTTCATATAGTGGTCTTACCAGAACACCATAATCATGGATCCAAAGTCTGCACCATCCAGTCATTCCCAGGGATGTCCGGAGCTCCTTGACGGTCGATGGTCTTGGAGTCTGGCAAATGGCTTCTTTTCTAGCAGTTCCAAGTTCTCTC